GTACTCCTCCATCTACCTTAGGATGCTTTGCTAGTAAAATGCCTCGTTATTTTCTCTAGCATCTGATTTGTCTTTTGCTTTATAAATAAAAGTCCTTTGTTATAATGCAGTTAAGCTTAGTGGCCTTTTATTTCAGTTGGCACTTTTTGTGTCTTATTTGAGAACTACATCCCTGCCCAGATATCATAAGGATGCCATCCTCTATGGAGTTCTGGAAGCTTTACATGGTAGATTAAGACCTTAGTGGACCTGGAATTGTGTTTCAGTTCACTGGAGGAAGAAGAGTCAGTATTATTTTTTCCCACATAATTGGCTCATGTTCCAGTACCAGTTACCGGAGGCTCTGTTTCTGAATGTGCCACTGACTCTTTTAGTTTGATGGACATTTACTAGACGCTGATGTTGTACCAGGCTTGCCAGAGGTACTAAACAGAAGCCAGCATTTACCTGCTCTGTATAGTCTACATGGTGTCTGGCAAGCACCCACCAATGGCTTCTGACCTGCACTTTTTCTACTAAGAACCAGGGCTGCCTCACAGATTGTGTCAGAGTAAATCAGATGGCTCTGTATCTATACAGATGTAAAGCAGTGTTTTAAACCACACGTCAGGAGCCAGAGTGCCGTGGTTAGCTCTATGCTGAACTACAATCTCTTTCATACATTTAGTTAACAAATTCTTTATTTAGAGGTTTTGAAACATGAGTGTAAATTACTGATATTCCCCAGATGGAGATGTGACATCTTATATTTGGGCACATCCCAAGGACTCATCATCTGCTTCCTTAGCCTTCTGCTGTGACAAAATACCTGAGATAATCAGCTCATAATGATGGAAGGACTATATTATCTCATGGTGTCTTCACATGGGCAGCTGGCTATGTCACTCTTGGGGCTGTAGCGAAGCAGTCAATCATGGTGCAGAGTGCAAGGTAGATGGCACCTCACAATGGGAGGCAAACACAGAGAGGGGCATTTCCATCAAGGGCATGCCTTCAATGACTTAACGTCTTTCCACCAGGCTTTATCTCCTAATGGTTCTTCCTCCTGTCAACTGCCAAAGGCTGGGGCAAAGCACTCAACACGCTGGACACTGGGAGATAATTCAAGGTCCAAACATCACCCAAAGCAGTATGGCAGAAACCATGACCTGTGTGTGACCTCTACGACTTAAATGGCTTCACTGTGGCTTTGATGGATCATCCCTGCTGGAGGGCTGAGTCTCTTGCAAAGAAGCCCTAACACCTTGATCTGCCATGCAGTAAGAAATACTCTGATAAACTTCAGAAAGAGACCACGCGGAGTGTCCTGTGTAACTGGCCAAACTGTGTCTCATCAAATGCATGTGTAGAAGCTGTGACCCCTGTGTGGTTGTGTTGGGAGATAACTGAAGTTAAATGAGGTCACAAAGCTGTGATCTTAATCTGAAAAGATTGGTGACCTTGCATTAAAAAGAGCAGATACTCATCTCATGCCTGGGCAAGCACTGAGTAAAGGCCACATGAGTGCCGGGGAAAGGCAGTGTGCAAGCCACTGAGCAAAGGCCACATGAGTGCCGTGGAAAGGCAGTATGTAAGCCAGAATGAGAGCTCTCACCTCAGACTTCCTTAGACTTCCACAGCCCAAGCTGACCCAGACAGATTGAGCTATGTAAAGAGAGAGAAAGATACTGAGCTATCTCCAAGCAAGCCACTTCAACTCCAGCCACCCCCAGCAAGGGTGTACTGAGCATCTAACTCAGAACTGCCCAGCAGACTTCCTCCTGAAATCCTGGTCCACAGAAACTGAGAAAATGAAATGACTGTGGACCTTTCTGAGCACTTTGATTGTGAAATATAATTTCACATTTTTCCCATCCAGGTATTAACCCTGTTTAGCTTAAGAGATCTGATGAGTTCAGTGTGGTCAGAGTAGTCTGTCTGTGGACCATAATCTCACCTTCTGTAGCCCCGGCTGTCCTAATATCACTCTGTAGACCAGGCTGGCCTCAAACTCACAGAGATCCACCTGCCTCTGCCTCCTGAGTGCTGGGATTAAAGGCATGCGCCACCACAGCCAGCAATTTCACATTTCCATTAATTAATTTTAAGTGAAACAAACTGACAAGATAACATCTAGTATCTGTTTACTTTGTGGACAACTCAGTATGATAAGACTAGCTTCATTTTGGTAAAGTATTCCTGAAATCACTGACTCTGAAGTATTATAATTGTCATTTCTGTAGCTTTGTCTTCTGTGTCACAGTATGGCTGTCCTAATATCCTTTACAGTTAGAACATTTGGGATATGTCTAACTTTGTCCTTAATGGGATGATATTTGTATTTTTAAAGCACCCACCCTGGTAGAAAACTGACACTGATAACTGTAGCTTTTAAAAAACACTGCCTATTTGTCCTGGAAGGTTTTTTAAAAGTGGATATGTCTAATTTTGTCCTTAATGGGATGATATTTGTATTTTTAAAGCACCCACCCTGGTAGAAAACTGACACTGATAACTGTAGCTTTTAAAAAACACTGCCTATTTGTCCTGGAAGGTTTTTTAAAAGTGGATATGTCTAATTTTGTCCTTAATGGGATGATATTTGTATTTTTAAAGCACCCACCCTGGTAGAAAACTGACACTGATAACTGTAGCTTTTAAAAAACACTGCCTATTTGTCCTGGAAGGTTTTTTAAAAGTAACTACATTTACCTAATGCAATGAGTCTCAAAAACAAACACAATAGTTAGGCTTTACTACTCTGATACAACCTCAGCACACAGCAGAAGACGCTAAAAATATTCACACAGCAATCGCCAAGTACGAGTAACTACTCAGTTAGAAGGAGGTGATAACTGTGGAACCAAACCTGGAACATCTTACATTGTTTCAATGAAGTCTAAACAAGTCAGCCCAACCTGGGAGGTGGTGGCATATATCTTTAATTTCAGCACTTGGGAGGGGGGCACACAGAGGCAGGCCGATCTCTGTGAGTTTGAGGCCAGCCTGGTCTCCAGAGTGAGTTCCAGGACAGCCAGGGCTACACAGAGAAAAAAACTCCCCCAAACAACAAACAAACAAAACAACCCAAACCAGCCCAAATAAACATACAAATTCCATGGATGCACTGGTGACTAATAGGTCAGTAGGGAGCGCCAGTCCATGCTACAGGTGTCATCTGCTCTCAAATGGAGTGGAGATGGGTCCCAACACAAATGTAAAAGTAGGGCAGGGATCTAATGGGACAACCTTCTGAATCTGGGTAACACCCGAGAGAGCCAGAGAGGGAGCAAAGTGAAGGAAAACTTTACTCCAAACAAGAACCTACTTATGAAGGTCTGGGAGTGTAGCTCAGTGGTAAGGTGCATGCCTGGCAGGGAGGCCAGGGTATGATCCCTCGTGGTGCCAAAGGAGGGGGGGCAGTAACTTAGACAGTAAGGAATATCATAAACTTACTTTCATTTGTTATTTTTATAGTGCCAAAGAAGAACCATATTGATGATTATCAACTACAGAGCGAAAAATGATCTCGGGGCATGAGAAACTAGAGAGCATGCGCATTTCACACACCAATCACAGCGGTATGTTCTGTCAGGAGCTGCAAATTAAACAGCAGTTAACAACAAAAACCAAAACCTTATTTCAATTCTTGTCATAAAAAGAAAGTTTTTATATTTCTGACTTTGCAAAAAGAAACATGCATAATAAAACCCAAATGTGAAATTTCAGTACTTTTCAACAGAATGCTGGGAAACGTCAAGGAAGTAAGAATTTGAAGCAAAGGCATGCTTATAATGCTAGCAGGCAAATGCGCATCAGTGATGAGCCATCAACGGCATTCAAGGCAATTCACCTACAACACTCATTATGTGGAATTTCTATGAGTCCTGGAAACGTTAATGAGAAATGTAGAACGGCTTTGGCATATCAGCAGTATATTATCAACACTGTTGTGGGATATCTGTACACTGTGTGAAAATGTATTTGCTGTGATTGGTCTAATAAAGAGCTGAATGGCCAATAGCTAGGCAGGAGGTATAGGTAGGACTTCTGGGCATAGAAAGGAATTAGGAGGAGATAATCGAGAGGTAGAGAGATGCAGAGACATGGAGAGGAGACAGGAGGTTACAAGATGGGAGAGAGGTAAAGCCACATGGTAGGACATAGATTAATATAAATGGGTTAATTTAAGTTATAAGAGCTAGTTAGGAACAAGCCTAAGCTATAGGCCAAGCTTTCATAATTGATGAGAGGACTCTGTGTCATCATTTGGGAGCTGGCTGGTGGAACAGAAAAAGACTTGTTACACAATACTAAAGTCCAGACCACAAGATCCTCAGATAACATCCCAATTTCATTTGCATCTAATTGATTTGGTCTAATATAAGCCTTGCAATAGTTTGGAAAGTCAAAGAGGTTTCTCCACTGAGCTACCAAGTTCATGAAGGCTTAAAAAAGCTTAGATTTATGGATGTGCACCTTCTACATTCAAGTCTTTAATTCTAAGTGAATGCAATTAATAACTCCATATAGATGCAACTGATATAAAAACAACACTGGAAATAATTACTATAATTGCTGGAAACAAACTCTAGGAAAATTCAAGTACTTTTTACTCTTGATCAAAGATTCTCACCTTTTCCTCTTTTATTAATAAAGGTTAAAGCCAGGGCCCTGCACATACACACACCTGCTCTACCTTGAGCTGCCCCAGCCCCCAGGGCCCTGCACATACACACGCCTGCTCTACCATGATATGTACCCAGCCCCCAGGTTCTTACATTTAAAAAATGTGCATGCTGGCAGACGATGGTGGCCAGCAGAGGGTTTGGGTCTCCTGGAGCTAGAATTAGAGGCAGCGTGTGAGCCACTCGATGTGGGAGCTGGAAACCAAACGTGGCTCCTCTGCAAGAGTAGCAAGCACTCTTCACCTGCGGAGCCTTCTCTGTAGCTCCAGGCTATTCTCGTTATGGACTCTGTTCTTCTTCCTTTCCAAGGACTTATTCTAATTGATCACTTACTTGTAAACGAACAATTCTCTGAAACACATCTTCTCTCATGCTCATCTCAATATCAAAACGAGAAAGCCGTTTGTCTGCTTCTGTGCTCGCGGCCCGCACTTCTCTGTCAGACGACACGTGCTGAGGGAAGTCCAGCATGGTCCTCTCCACTGTTGAGTAAGAAGAGACCGTGAACATGACAGGACCTGTCAAACTGACAGGAGGCCAAACGTCTCTTTGAGATGAACGAACGCTGAGGAAACATTCTCATTTTGTGCTCTCTGCAAAGGCTCTCAATACTATCAAAAGCAGTCCTGGATGCGGGAGTTGGCTGTTCACTTGGCATCACTGTGAACATGATAAGGCTATGCACTCGGCGCTGATAAAGTACATTCAGGGCATAACTGATTAACTGTGAATTACAAGGACACAGTTCCTATACATAGCTGTCATGACCTGGGAAGGGAGGGACCTGGGGCATAAAGATGGATGGCAGAGCCTTTGGGGTGTCAATGAGAGGGATATTGGCTCAGAGGCAGCAGCTCCCAAAGGGCTAGGACAATAGGCAGTATACTCTAGAAGAGGAAGGGTCTGTTGTGTTCTGGAAAAACAAGAGACTGAAAGCAGGGGACCCCCGCCGGGACACCAGATGTTTACAAAACAAACCAATCGATGCAGCAGGAAGGGGTTTATATAAAGAAGTTCTTAATCATTTCCCCTACTACAGACTCCTTGCAGAATCTAATCTAAATTATAGGCCCCACCCAAAATGCACATATCAAATAAAAAGTTCTAGATAGTTCTAGATACATCCAGCAAGCGGCTGGGTGCTGTGGCTATGCCTGTTAAAGATGATGGTAATGGTGTGCTCTAATCTTCACTGTTAAGTCAGTTGTTGGGTTATACATTAATTGGACACAATTAATATTAAATTCTGATATTAGTGAGCAGCTGTAACAACAGACAGTGATAGCTGTGGTCACACTGTGACAAGGGATACACCTTACTACCTTCAGTATTGTGTTGGTTCTGAGATAGTCTCACTCCATAGTCCAGGCTGGCCTTGAACTATCATCCTCCTGCTTCAGCCTCCTGAGTGTTAGCATACAGGTATACCCTGCTATGTCCGGGCCTACCATCAGAATTCTGCCTGTTTTATAAACTGGTAAAAATTACACAAACAATACAGAGCAGACACAGAGCCATCCTTTCCTTAGGAAGGAACAGTGCAGGCAAATACTGCCACACTCACAGAGGTCCTCTTCAAACACTGCTACCAGTAAAGCTACTAAAAACACGGCAGAAAGAGCAGAATAAATGAACAGTTTCTACAATTAAGCCACACTCCCAGCCCTACAATACACATTTATAAAAAATCAACTTCTGTAATTGTATTTTAGTCCTTGACTTTGTGTGTGTGTGTGTGTGTGTGTGTGTGTGTGTGTGTGTGTGTGTGTGTGTGTGTATTTGGTAATTAAGGGAAAGGTGGCACAGATTAAAATTTCCATACATAGAGCACTGTTTTAGAGCTACAGGTAATAATATAGTTACAATTTCTGCTTACTAAAAAGCAATTAAAGTTTCTCAAGAACCTAAATGGGTAACAACATAAAGCGCAGGAGCCTAAAACTGGAAACAATCCTGAACAATACACAGAAGACCATTTCCTTCCTTCCTTTGCCACAGAAACCTGGAAGCAGACTTCCATTCCCCCTGCCAAGCTATAAACAATGCTGTCTGTGCCCAGGGCGGACACCAGCCGAGTAAGACTCACAGTTACTGTAGCATACCCCAGAACAGGCAGTTAAGAGAATTAGTTTTGAGAAGTCTACTCTCTCAGAGGCTTGATGGCTAACCGTAAAGATAAATTTATGGAGAGCAAGAACAAATATCGCAAACTTCTATACACATTTAAAATATTCAGTGCTGGGGAAACCCAGGACTCCAGAGAAGTCTTTACATGAGTTTGTGCTCTTCCCCCTCACGGTTTTCCTTCCTTCCCAATCAAATGCACACATTCTTAGGCTGACACACTAGCCTGCTGAGGAAAAGGAACTGAGGAAGAAATGAGAACTTGAGCTAAGAACAAACCTGTGCTGCTGGAAAAACTCTGCATAACAGGGACCAGCGGCCATGCCTGTGACTGACAGCAAGGACCAGGCCGATCCTTCACTCCAGAGTTTACAGTTAGGCCCTAGAAGATGCAGTAGCCACTAACCAGAGTGAAGAGCTTGGTAGTAGGAACAGATATGGATGCCAATACAGAGAGAAGAGCGAATACCCGAGGCGTTACGACAATGGTGTGCAGGGTGGGGTAATTAGGGGCTAGCAGAAGCTCAAGTCACTAGAGCTGTGCCGGTTTTAGACAGCCTTCCAGTTTCCAGAACACATACAAATATTTATGATATCCAGTTTGCATATAGAATTTTATATGCGCAATTTTTATACATAATATACAATTTTATATATATAATATACAAAATTTATATACATAATTTAAGTGAAGCCTGGGTACACAGCCAAGGTTGTTTAGTCATACTTATCCTACAGAAATATGCCCAATTCTTAAGAAGTAATCAGAGTAAATTTTTCATTTGTATAAGTCGAAGGACATGTTTAAAAACAACACAGAGCCGGGCGGTGGTGGCGCACGCCTTTAATCCCAGCACTCGGGAGGCAGAGCCAGGTGGATCTCTGTGAGTTCGAGGCCAGCCTGGGCTACCAAGTGAGTTCCAGGAGAGGCGCAAAGCTACACGGAGAAACCCTGTCTCGAAAAAAAAACCAAAAAAAAAAAAAAAAAAAAAAAAAAAAAAACAACACAGATGAAGACAGAGAAATGAATAAAGAAAAATCAACTGTAAAGAGCCTGCCATCGAGACACTAATCATTGGGATGAGTGGTTTCATGTGCTGAGTCGGAGAGCGTTGTGGATGAGACTAACCATGAAGTTGGCCAAATGGCTCACGGGCCTCCACAGCAGGTAGCCTCACCTAGTCAACTGAGGGCCTGACCAGAACAAACACTGAAGTCCAATCTTCTAGGAGGCTGACTCTCCATGTCACACACAGCTCCTCCTGGGTCTTGGGACTGCAGGCCCACACTACATAGCTTAGCTTTGCTACCTTCCACGCTTATGTGAGCCGGCTGTCCCAGAGAGAAATCTCTCCACATCTGTGCATATACCCAATGGCTCTGCTTCCTGGAGAATCACGACAGATACAACATCATTAACACTGTCTTGCAGTTTTCCTTCTCTCTGTGTGTTTTCTGTTGTTGTTGTTTTTGAAATGAGGTCTTAGTCTATAGCCACACCTAGCCTGATACTTACTACACAACAGTAGCTGGCCTTAAACTCTCAGCAATCCTTCTGCCTCAGTCTCCCAAAGGCTAGGATCACAGGTTCCTTCTGTATGCTTTTCTCCTATGCTGTGATATACTCTTTCTAGCCATGATTTTAATGGCTACAGGGAGTTACAAAGGATGGATGTTTCATCATTTATCCAACTACCAAATCGTGACTCTAATTCTACAATAATGTGATTATCAGCTGCCATTTAGAGCGTGTGTCGGAGCCTTTGTTATGAAACAGTACCTATTTATACATTAACTTGTATAGGAATCCTGCCATTATTATTTCACTGGAATGAATTTCTAGATGTAGAATTTCTGGGTGAGGGTACAAGAGAGACTCTTGGTAGTTCTGATGTGCAGAAAAGAGAGTGCACACCGTGCAGGTGAGGAGTGTGCACACCGTGCAGGTGAGGAGTGTGCACACCGTGCAGGTGAGGTGAGGTGAGGTGAGGGAGTGCAATAACCAACCCTGTGTGAGAGTTAATTTCTTGTAAACTGGATAACTGACTGTCCGGACAAAAAGGGTGAAATGGCTGGAGATTCTGCAAAAGGAAACACGGGTGCTCACATCTCCACCCACCTATGTACTTGACTTCCACATCGGCCAGCACCTGCAAACAGTTCTCGTAAGTTACGTCCTTCAGGTCGATCGTCCCCACAGCGTCGTACACCTGCTTGGTCTGTGTGATGAGCTCTTCTGTCCTCATCCTGATCTGCTCTGGAGAAAGGTCCCATCTTAGCACGTTCCTGCCAGCAGCGGTGGCGTAGGAAGATGCAGCCTGAAGCGGAGACACCAGCTCTCTTCCCAACGTCATTCTGAGCAGAATCCGGGAACCACCAGCTCTAAAAGGAATTGGAAAAAAAGAATAGAAATTAAGGACTTCTGTTGGCCAGAGGTTAAATATAAACATATAATGAAATGAGATAGCAGGTAAGACCTTTTCAAAAAAGAAACCCTTTCCTAAAGGAAAAAAATGAGTGAAAATGTCCTTTATTTTCTTGCATAATTATAGTTTTAGTGGAATTTTTACTATGCAGACATGGACTTGAGTATATGAAATCATGTGAAAGAAAGATAGCTGTCAGATATATGACAACTGTCCTTTAAAAACTAAACTAATTGGGGCTGGAGAGATGGCTCGGGAGTTAAGAGCACTGGCTGCTCTACCAGGGGACCCGGGTTCAATTCCCAGCACCTACATGGCAGCTCACAATGTCTGTAACTCTAGTTCCAGGGGATCCAACACCCTCACACAGACATACATGCAAGCAAAACACCAATAAGATAAATAAATAATTTAAAAATGAAACTAATCTATCCTGTGCAAGTTTCTATCTACTGTGTACATAGATTTTTTTTAAATTACAGGTTTTGCTAAAGAACATTACAAATATTCTTTTCATGTAAGATAACAATCTCCCCCATAATTTTATATAAATAAAATAGTAATTTGTATCTGATATATACATCACATTGTAACAAAAGAAAAAACTGTCAGTAAAGAGACCAGCCCTTATTCTGTTAGATACCCCAACTAAAGCTAGTGACACTTCGCTTGTGTGTGTATCTCCTTCTCTCTTCTCCCCAACTTCAACCCTTGCCCCAACTCTACAGCTTAGAAATGAAAAACATCATATTTAGTAGCTAACAATTACGTAGTGAATGTTTCGGCCCTGATCCTTCGAAGACACGTCCTGTGGTCACTCTTAGTCTACTAAAGAAAAAAACAAACAAACAAACAAACAAAAAAACAATGTGAGCAGGTTAAGTAATCTGCCCAAGGCCACTCAGCTAGTCAGTGAGAGCTAGGACTAGAAACCAGGCAGTAAAGCTTAACTTCTCTTAGCTCAGAAGATCCACAAACAGCCTGGAGGGAAGCAGGGCGTTATTCCCTGTTAACTGGAGAGGTAACTGAGGCCCAGAGGCTAACTTACATGTTTAAAGCCATCTGCCCAACAGAACACATACTACATATGTGCAGCCACTGTGAGGGGCACTGAGGGTAAAATCTGATCGCCCGGCCCTGATGGTCTGATAAGGAACAAAAGCCACAGCAATAAATGAAATTTATTTATTACACTGCTTTGTGATAAGCGTTACAATAGGCAGGCAGAGGGAACTCTGAAAGACTACAGAGGGGATACCTAGTCTGGAAGATGGTGTGAAAACGAAGGTCCTAGAATACTGAACAAGTCAAACTATCCGAAGTCCAAAGAACACGTGCCGGAGAAGGCTGAAGATAAAGAGGAAGTAGCCAACGCAGGCCTTAGGAATCAACAGAAACACTGAACCTTGTTCTGTGGCTCAGGTCGGTCTGTTTTGGTTGGTTTTGTCTTTTCTGCAGCGCTAGAGATTGAAACCTGGACCAAATGCACTCCGTGAGTGCTGTACCCCTGAGTCCTACTCCAGCCCTGCTCTCAAACTTACTCTGAAGCTAAGAAAGCCACCGACTGGCTTTCATTAGGTGAGAGACCCGGTAAGCTTTCTATCTGAGAGAATTCTCCCATTTCTCCAAATGAAGAAGGGATCCTGAACTAGAAAATGGGAGAACTGGACTGATGTAAAATCGAGGTAGAGACGACCATATCTTGGTATGAAGAGCAGGGGAAGACTCCAGGGCGATGCTTGTGCTTCAGGGAGCGCATGCTGTGCATGGACGTCTGAAGTGGCAGGAAGTGGAACTCACTGATACTGAAGGTAATGAGCCAAAGCATGGCGTGAGGAGAGGAGAATGCCCCGGCTCTAACTACATCATCAGTGAGGTGAGGGAAAGAAGGCCAAGAGGGGTTGGGGAAGCCAGGAAAGTGAGCAATGAGACACGAAGTATGTCTGCCACAGAGTCAACCGAGTGGACGGCAAGAGGCTCAGTGGCGCTAACTAAAGGAAGGCAGTTCATGGCTTTGGCCGAAGCCATGATCTGGGGGTGCTGGGGTGACCCTGGAGAAGGGGGAGAATGGGGAGACGATCTGGGGGTGCTGGGGTGACCCTGGAGAAGGGGGAGAATGGGGAGATGATCTGGGAGTGCCTGGGTGACGTTGGAGAAGGGGGAGGACGGGGAGATGATCTGGGGGTGCTGGGGTGACCCTGGAGAAGGGGGAGGACGGGGAGATGATCTGGGGGTGCTGGGGTGACCCTGGAGAAGGGGGAGGATGGGGAGATGATCTGGGAGTGCTGGGGTGATCCTGGAGAAGGGGGAGGATGGGGAGAATGGGGAGATGATCTGGGAGTGCTGGGGTGATCCTGGAGAAGGGGAGGATGGAGAGATATCTGGGAGTGCTGGGGTGACCCTGGAGAAGGGGGAGGATGGGGAGATGATCTAGGAGTGCTGGGGTAACCCTGGAGAAGGGGGAGGATGATCTGGGAGTGCTGGGGTGACCCTGGAGAAGGGGGAGGACAGTGAGGGGGAGCACACCTACAGATGTGGCTAGGAAAGCAAGGCAAGCAAGGCGGAAAGGCGCAAGCACAGAAGAGCTGGGATGAGGACGGGAGAGACCTGAACACTGCCTCACCTTCTCTCACAGTGTTTGTGTGAAACTGCCTGAGGCACACTCAAGGTTGGCACTCTATTTTTTGGTATATTTTCACACACACATACACCCCTTTTTTCTTTTTTTTTTTTTTGTTTTTATAATGCTGAATGCTGTTTACTGAAGGAAGGAAGAGGTCTTAAATACAGGCTTACAGCACAATGGGAGAACCCCGGAGGGCAGAAGTTCGCTACCCATGTTTTACAATCTTGCATCTAAGCTGTTAACACCCATTATGCAGGATACACAAACAAGGAACGTCCCTTAAGCATTCAAGAGACACCTTTTTTTTTTCAAGACAGGATTTCTCTGCATAGCCTTGGCTGTCCTGGAACTCACTCTGTAGACCAGGATGGCCTCAAATTCAGAGATCCACCTGCCTCTACCTCCCGAGTGCTGGAATTAAAGGCATGTGCCACCACCACACTGCACAGCTACATTTCTTTTGTTATCAGTAGAATAAGATTAAGACTGTTCCAAAACCTGCCCATATGTATTAAGGTTGTAATTTAAATATTTATCTAATTAAATGTATTGAAATAAAGAACCTGTTTTTTTTTTCCCTGAGATAAAATGTTTAAAAACATTTAAATAGGTAGTCACTGAAACATCAATAACAAAAACTGGCCAATGTAAAAAATT